TTTGAGACTGATACAAAAGCAGTGTGTGGCCTTTGACAAAGCCCTGGCAAGGTTTACAGCGTGGAATGATTCACTATTACTGTGAGAAAGTTTTAGTGATGTTAGATGTTAAAATTTGCCAGGAGTGTTTTCATTTGGTGAATTTTTGGCATGTGTGCCTCTGACCTGTTACAGAGGAGAAACATTTTGTCTTATCCTTTTTAGCACCTTTTAATAGTTAGCAAATATTGTGTGGGGAAGAGGTGTATGTGCAACTCCATGAATATATGCTATATAGTCCTGGACATTTGTTATCTACCTTCACCCACTTGATTAATTTGTTCAGATGCAATTCAGATCCCTAAGTTCTACTAATATCTTATCTTCTTAGAGAGCCATAACTCACTCTTCTGAATGAAGTACTGCTGTGCAGTTTGTAAATGATAACCTCTATGAAGAAAGAGTTACAGAAGTCTATCTAAGTGATACAAATGCTAGCATCCCGCTCCCTCTTGCAGAGCCAGTTTGGGCAAAATTTAGTCCCTTACCCAGATAATACCACTGCAATGTAACCACTCATAGAGTGAAGGGAGGAGACCAGATCAACACTTGGCGCATAGTCATTGAGCAGTGAGGAAATGTTGGCTTAAAAACACCAGCATAAACTTTACTCTCACAATGTTTGCCCTTAAAGATTTCGGTGCAGATTTTTATAACCTGCCCTCCATTTTTCTGCACTTGCAATATGTTGGTATTAATAATAATCATCCCTACGTAGATTCTATCAGCACCTAAAACATGCTAGGTTCTTTCTAAAGTCTGAAAAGCAAATAACAGGAATTATTATTTGTGGGTGCCGCTCATGTTATGCAAGTACCTTACAGGACTGCACCCACACATCAGATAGATGGATATCCAAGTGATACGAACTGTGACTATAAATAATTGTGTCTGGAAAATTGTAGTCTCCTTGCAGACTGAGACCTGCTCTAGCTAGGTCCTTAAAGTGGTCTGGCTGGATATTCAGTTTCTGTCCATTGACAATCGTATGGCACCCCCAAAGCTTTTAGCAACTGGGTGATCGCTGGCTGTGTAACAGTATTCCTTAGTGAACTCGCTTTGTAAGGTGAAAATGATTAATGAAACCTTGGAAAAGGGCCATTCAAGTATCCTATGTGTTAGTGTCAATGTAAAATTGATACCTGGAATGTCCAAAACAGCTAGAGCTGTCTTCCTTGACAAGTAGTGGAAAAGCCTGTATATTTGAGGTATGGTATTCATTTTTTTTCTGTTTAAGCAGAGAGCTTTCTTTTCTCCTTTTGTTCTCCTGGTACTTAATTTATTAACACCAAATATTGTTTTAAGAATTGTAATTTTTTTAAAAAGCTGTTTTTATGCATGATCCAAATTCTGATCTATTACACCAGTGTAAATCCACAGAAGTCAGTAGAGTCATTCTGGGTTTACGACTGATGCAGCTAGCTCCACTCCAGTATACGCTTAGTTTTAAGCATGTGGGTAGTCCCACTAACGTTAAACACATATTTAAGTGCTTGTCT